ACAGCGGCAGCCGTCCCCCAGGGCCCCGTCCTTCCTCCCTGTGGGTCGGACGGCGGTCACACCCTCTTTTCTACGTTGGGGGGAGAAGGGGGCAGGGCTTTGTAAGGTGCCCACCTCCGGGCCCTCAGGGTGCCTGCTGTGATTGGTACGCTCACCGCCTCTGAGAAACTGAAGGCATGTGGCCCGGCGGGGGCCGCGCCGGCGAGGGGCTGGGCTCCCAGGCTCGGTGGCTGCTGGCCGGAGGCTGCTGGCCGCTCCCCCGTGCCCATCTGTCGCGGTGGCACCGCGCCCCTCCAGCGCTGCTTGGCCCCACGCCCCGGGGCATAAGTGACAGGCTCTGATGGGCAGCCGGGCAGCCGGAGGCCCATTCCCAGTGCCATCTCTGCCCGGAGCTGGCCGCTGGGGGCGCCCCCTCCCCGTCCCCACCTGGCATCCACACACTTCATCTCTCTGGCGGGCAGAGCCCGGGGCGCGAGCATCTGAGCACAGCTGGGCAGGCGCCCGGCCCTCCTGGCGGTGACCACGGCGGCTGCCCAGGCAGGACGGCACGCGCCCAGGAGCGGGAGGCCTCTCGGTCACCTCTGGACGCTGGCCCTTTGGGAGGGGGAGGCCGCCGGCCCCCTACGCCCGGCACCATGGCCTGCCCCGGCCCCAGAGTCTCCTACAAGCCCAGTGCTGGGGTGCCTGGGTTCCCAGCCCTGCAACCCCAACAGCTGGGCAGCGCGGGGCCTCAGTTTACCTTCGGTGGTGTGGCGGTCACAGGACACCACGCTCCCAGGTCACGGCGAGGTCTGGAAGCCTGTCCCCCCGGCGCCAGACTCCCGGGGGCCCTTGGGAACGTGTCTGGTTTCCACGGCGCTGGGGCCAGTGCCTCCGTCCTGGGCCCGGTGCCACACACACACACACCTACACACCCACACACGCACACCCACACACGCACGCACATGCCACACACACCAGCACACACACATTCACACATGCCCACACATGCCACACACACCAGCACACCCACACACCAGCACACGCGCACCCACACACGCACACACACGCACGCACGCACATGCCACACACACCAGCACACACACACCCGCACATGCCCGCACATGCCACATACACCAGCACACACACCCGCACATGCCCGCACATGCCACACACACACCAGCACACACACACTCACACATGCCCACACATGCCACACACACACCAGCACACGCACACCCGCACATGCCCGCACATGCAGGCACGCACAGCACTGGCGCACTCAGGCGCACCGCTCTCTAGCACGCCCCCGTGCTCCATTGTCTCCGGAATCCCGCCGTGTGCCATGACCCAGTTCGTGCGCTCACGGACGCGCACAGGCGATTCCCACAGAACGCCGCTCTGGGCGCGCAGGGACGCGGCTCCCCGCCCCCCCGGCCGCGGCCTTGCTCCGTGCCCGGTCCAGGCCCGGTCCAGGAGACGCAGCGAGGGGGCGGGACCACCGAGCCCGCTCCGGGCCGGGGAGGAAGCATCCCAGGGGGCTCAGGCTCCGGGACCGAGGGCAGGGCCCGGCGTGCCCGGCCGAAGGGCATGGGCTGCGCGTGAGCGTCCCCCGCCCCGAGTTTAATCAATGGCAATGGTTGAGGCACAGGCGAGCAGGCAGCAGGAGCTAATCCTTTCTCTGCATCCGCTCCGGGCCGGGCTGGCCGCGTGGCCCCCGGGGCCTCAGGAGGCGTGTCCTGCCGCCTCTCGGTCTGTCCGCGAGGGCGCTGGGCCTCCTGGGTCCCGGCAGCCCCCGGCCCGCCCTGAGGTCTGCGGCAGCCAGAGGCCAGAAGAGCCGTTCCTGGGACAGCTCTGTGCTCCCACGTCCCTGGAGGGGTGTGTGTGTGTGTGTGTGTGTGTGTGTGTGTGTATGTGTGTGTGTGTGTGTATGTATGTGTGTGAGTGTGTGTGTGTATGTATGTATGTGTGTGTATGTGTGTGTATGTATGTGTGTGTGTGTGTGTGTGTATATATGTGTGTATGTATGTATGTGTGTGTGTGTGTGTGTGTGTGTGTGAGTGTGAGTGAGTGTGTGTGTGTGTGTGTGTGTGTGTGTGGCGGGGGGACGGGGGTGGGGAGGGGATTGGGGAGCTTGAGGTCTTAGGACCCTGCCTTCACGACTGGCCTGCATCCTCCTTGCCCCCAGGCCTGGCAGGGCCGGGCTCCGTGTGCGGTCTGCGGCTCCCGGCCTCGGCTCCGGCCCAGCGGCCGCGGTCCCCGGGCCGGCTCCCCAGCAGGGGCTCGGGGCGCTCTCACCCGGGCCGCCTGCCGCTGCCGCAGCCCATGCTACCTGCGTGGCCCAACTACGAAAATAGTCCCGGTCCCCCGGCACCGAGGCTTTTTATAGCCGGGCCCCGCAGGCCCGCGTGAATCTATCAGCTCACGCACACGGCAGCGGGCGAACCTCGGGCTTCTCTGGGCCTCGGCGGCCGCCCGATCCAGCTCTGCGCACGCGCCTCTGCCGTGCCTGACCTGGGGCCGCGCCCGCGCCTCCCGGGCCTCGTCCCCGTGTCGGTCCGGGAGCACATCCAGGGCTGTGCTGAGAGCAGTTCAAGCGAAGTGCTCAGAGCGAGGCCTGGCCCGCAGCGGGACCTGCCGGGGGGTGGGGGGCTGGGGGCTGTTCTCTTTCTCCTGTTTTGGGCGGGTCCCGTCCAGCATGCCGGAGCTGGCCCGGCTAGGCTGGCAATGGGCACGCTCCCTGTCCCCTCCCCCGTGATGCTGAAGAGCGGGGTTCAGGGGAGCCGTCAGGAAGGGGATGAGGGTCTGCGGGCACGGACTGTCCGCGGGGACTCAGGGACAGCTGGGCGGCATGGCGGGGCCCGCCCCTCCTCTCGGTCAGCCCGGCCCTGGCAGGGCGCCCAGAGCCCCAGGCCTCCATCTGCCGAGGCCTGAGGCCGGACGCTCAGGCTGACGGCCCTGACCTTGAGGGAGTCTGTGGCCTGCAGCCTGTCTCACCCCCGGCCAGCCCCGCCCCCACCCCCCACCCTCCACAGGGTCTGGACACAGGGACAGACGGAGGAAGACAGGTCTCCACGGAACCGACAGGGGCCAGGCGGTGCGGCCACCTTCCCACACCAGGACCCGGGACGGAGGACGGCCGAGCCACGTGAGGCTGTGCCCCGCCTCGAGGGAGGGGCGCCTGAGTGCTGGGGCAGGACCCCGAAACCGCTCCTGGCACCAAACCCACCCCGGGCCCTCCCGTCGAGAGGCCCAGCTGGAGGGAACTCGCCCCTGACCTGGGACGGCCAGAGTCTGGGCCACGTCTGAGCTTCGGCCCACGCCCGGAGTCTCAGGGCCGCGGAGGCACGTGGACAGTCCCCTCTCCCGACGGCGCTTACACGCCTGCCGACGCCGGTGCCCGCCCCTGCCTGCCCCCACCCGAGGCCCTTCCGGGCCAACGAGCCTGGGGCTCCCGGAAGTGAGGCTGGACCCGCCCAGCCAGCACAGCGAGCACTCGGTGTGGGCCTGCATGTGCGTGTGAGCATGTGTGTGCAAGAGTATGCAAGCACGTGCGTGTGTGTGCACATGTGGGCATGGGTGTGCATGTGGGTGCTTGCTGCCTACATGTTAGGAGAACCTTGTGAAGTCTCCATTTCCGCCCCCACCTGCAGCCCCCGCACCTACTGCACCTTCTGTTTTCCCTGCCAGCGTTTCTGCCCGTTCCCGGGACCCGCTGACACAGACTCCCAGGCCGAGCCCGTGGAGTCTGGCTTCCCTCCCGTGGCACCTGCAGCTCCTCCAGGGGCCAAAGAGCCGCCTGTGGCTCGAGAGCCTCGGTGTGCCAACCACTGTCTCAGATGCTGAGGCACGGTCCAGGTCAGATAATACCTCTTCCCTGCTGGGCTTCCCACGGCAACGGGGTACACCCCAAAGCCACGGCTCCCTGCACACTCGCCGTGACCCGGCCACTGCCAGCCCTCCCCCAGCCCCGTTCTCTTGGCTTCAGCCGCACTCTGCCTTCCGTCCCAGCCGCACCCCGAGCTCGGCTCTCTCCCACACGGGCTCTCCTTCTCGGCACCCAGGCCTCGGCTCAGATGCGACCTCCTCAGAGAGGCTCTCCCCAACCCCCTCACCAAGGAGTACCCCACCTCACCCCGCACCAGGGATCACACCTGCAAACCCCGCACGCGTCCTGCCTGGGAATCGAACCAGCGACCTCCTGGTGCGTGGGAGCCACGCCGGCCGGCTAATTCACCGTCTGGCCTCTATGTCCACAGCCGCTCAGCCCGCGTCACCTCCGCCTACAAACAGTCGCTTCCCGGAATCCCCACGGGGCCTCGGGGCCACGGGGCCACGCCAGGCAGTCTGCTCCGGCTGCACACGAACCCCCGCGTCCGCGAGGGAAGCCACCCTGCCCGCCGGCCCCGGCCTCAGCGCGATGGCGACGGGAACTCCCGCGGCTGGAACACCCTCCTCTCGAAAACCCAGCAAATTGCTGTTTGAGCCACTTAACGAAAGCCATTATTTGCATAGATTTGGCGTTGCGACAACACTTGCACATTTAAGCGGGCTGTAATTAAAATCAGTAATTGCAGAAAATAGGGACTCGTTAGGGCTATAATTTAGCGAGGTCCTCGGCACTCGAGGATCTGCCTTAAAGGCTGACGGGGTGACCCAGGCCCCCGCAGCTCCCGGGAACCGTCCTGAGGCCCGGGGCCCTCCGCGGCCGGGGAGGGTGTAGGACGGACAGATGGGACGGATGCCGCAGCTCCCGCACTGCGCCGGGGAGGGGGCCTGGCACCGCGGCGCCCACGAAGCTCACAAAAGGCGCAGCCATGTGACCCCTGGCCTGGCTCCGGCTCGGCACTCGCCCTCCTGACCGAGCGGGACCAGCTGAGTCCGAGTTGCCCCACCCGCCAGCCGGCCTGGAGGGCGTCTGCTGGCTCCAGGCCCACAGACTTAGACCCCGCCCTCCTGGCTGCCCCGAGGCCCCGGTGCCGGCGGGGGGGCGGGGGGGGGGCGGGGGCGGCTGCACTGACCTGCAGCTCGGTCTGGAAGAAGAACTTCTGCGGGCACTGCGCGCAGTCGTAGATCTTGTCCTCCTGCCCGTGCACCGCGAAGATGTGCTGCTGCAGCTTGTTGGCCTGGACGAAGACTGCACGGGGGGCAGGGCGTCAGCGCGGGCGGGACCCCGGCCCCGGCCCCGCCCTCCCACCGCAGAGGGGCCCAGCCGGGCTCACGCCAGGGAGGCTGTGGGACCTCGGGCAAGCCACGGGACCTCTCTGGCTCCGTGTCCTCGGAAAAGCCGGCCTTCCGAGGGCGCGGCTCGCGGAGCCTCTGGGAGGGTCACTGGGATCCCGTAGGAGGTGCTTAGAAGATGGACCCGCACGCAATGAGGCCGATGAATGCCATCGCCCGTCAGGTGCCTAGAGCCCAGGCCCCTGAGACTGGCACTGCTGCTGTCCCCGTTTTACAGAGGGGAACGCTGAGGCGCCGGGAGCATTCCGTGGCGAGCCCCAGGCCCCAGGCTGGCAGGGGGCGGGGCCGAGACTGGCGTTGACACAGGCTGAGCGCCGTGCCCGGGGCAGGAAGGGGCTGGACACCCAAGAATGGCTAGGCCTGCTGCTGAGGGCCGTCAGCGTCCTGACCCCACACACGGGACCGTGTCCTGGGCCAGCAGACCCGGGGCGCCTCGAAGCCAGCCCCCAGCCCGAGCCCCCAGAGCGTGATGGGGCAGAGCTGGGGGGGAGAGCTGAGGGTGTGAGTGTGCAGAGCCCTCTCCCCAGGCCTGGCACCCGGTGGTCACCCACCCGCCTCCCGGTGGTAGGCGCCCAGGCGCGGGCGGGCAGGAGGCGGCCCTGGAGCAGCTGTGTGTGGGGGGAGGGGGGCACCTCAGAGGCCCCCCCCCCGGGCACCCTCCCCAGGGTGGGGTTCTGCCTGGCAGACGGCAGATGTTGGGGGAGGCCGGGCTCCCCGGCGCACACCGGCTGCCATCTGGGCAGCGGGAGGGAGGCCGGCAGAGCCCCCGAGCCCGGCCCGGGGCTGGGACAGCCGCTTGCCTGGGCCGCCAGCCAGCCCGGGGGCGTGACCTCTCCAGCCAGAGTGGAGGGAGCGCGGGGTGAGCTGGGAGGGAGGAGGTGTGGCCGGGAGAGCCACGGCCGCCGGGCGGAGCGCACGGTCACGGGGGCGAGGCTGGGGCCCAGGCCTCCAAAGCGGAGGGTGAGGCCGGGCCGGGCGGACTCACAGGGCTGAGGGGAAGCAGCCACCCCGTGGCCTCCCAGGAGAGGCAGAGCGCAGGGGCAGGCCACGGCAGGTCCCAGGGCAGCGGGGCTGGGGTCTCTGTCAGGCCGGACGCCCATGCTGCGGTCCCCTCCCTCTCTGCACGCCGGGGGTGGGAGCGGGGGTGGGAGCGGAGTGGGGGGGGGGTGGGGGGGGTGGGTGCGGGGTGGGTGCGGGGTGGGTGCGGGGTGGGGGCGGGGTGGGAGGGGGGGTGTGAGCGGGGGGGGAGCGGGGTGTGAGCGGGGTGTGAGCGGGGTGTGAGCGGGGTGGGTGCGGGGGTGGGAGCGGGGTGGGAGCGGGGGTGGGAGCGGGGTGGGTGCGGGGTGGGAGCGGGGGTGGGGGGGTGGGAGCGGGGGTGGGGGGGGTGGGAGCGGGGGTGGGAGCGGGGTGGGAGCGGGGGTGGGTGCGGGGTGGGTGCGGGGGTGGGTGCGGGGGTGGGAGCGGGGGTGGGTGCGGGGGGGGGAGCGGGGGTGGGAGCAGGGTGGGTGCGGGTGGGGGTGCGGGTGGGGGTGCGGGGGCGGGAGCGGGGGCGGGAGCGGGGTGGGGGCGGGGGTGGGGGCGGGGAAGGGGGGGGGTCCCTTACCTGTGAAGCACACAGGGCACTTGAAGGTGCCGCCCATGCCCTCGAAGCTGTGCTCGATGAGGTGGCAGAGCAGCTTGGCCGGGGAGTCGAACATCTGGTTGCACAGCTTACACTCGTGGTTGATGCCTTCCTCTGCAAGGAAGCGGAGGTCAGTGACCTGCAGGCCACGCCCCACACGCCCCACCACAACCCGCCCTGCAGAGCCAAGCCTCTCCCTGCAGAGCCACGCCCCTCCCCTCCCTGCAGACCCCTGCCCCGCATGCCACACCCCTCCCCTCCCTGCAGAGCCACGCCCCACACACGCCACACCCCAGCCCTGCCCCGATCCCCAGAACCAGGGCTGGTGTGGGGCTGCAGGTGCCCATCCCTGTCCCAGCCCCAGATGGTCCCGCCACCCCCAGCTTACGGACCCCGGGGGACTGGCTCCCAAGAGCTGGCATGTGAGGCGTCATCTGCAGGCCTTTGTCCTGCAGGCCCAGCGGCAGGCCCGAAGCCCAGACCATGTCACACGGAGAGGGTGGGGTCCAGCCAGGACTTTAAAAACCCAATAGAATATTCACGGAGCAGGTGCTCTGTGCCACGCCCCTGGGGCTGGGGGTTCCAGAGGGCACGGGAGCAGTAGAGGGGGAACAGAACAGGTAATACGCTGTCCCCCATTCTAGGGGTGAGGCAAACGGGTCATACACAAAGACGGTTCACACGGATAGGCAACAGGGGGTGCCATTGGTCGAAGCAAAAGTTCTGGGGTGAGCCTGTGCCGGGGCCGGGGCAGGGAGGGGTGAGGGCACAGGGGCACGTGGACCCACACTGCACAGGGCCTCTGGCCACGGAGGACACTGGGGTTTCCTCTCAGAGGGCCGGGCAGCCCCCTGAGGCCTCGCACAGCAGCACACGCAGTGAGCGCTCTGTGACCCATTAACAGGCGGCCGCCCCGGGGCTCCCACACAGGGCCAGGCACGCTGTCCCGCTCCCAGAGGAGAACCTGGCTCCAGCCCCCTCCTGGGAGCTGCTGAGACCCCGATCATCCTCTCAGAGGCCCCCAGGGGAGAGGGGTGCCCTGAGCACCCGAGTCACGCCCCCGTCCAGAGCCCAGGCCTCACAGCCCCGCCCAGAATCGGCAGGGCAGGGTTCGAATCCCGGCTCCTCCAAACCTCGGCTCCTGTGGTGAATAAGGACCACCCAGCCCTGCCCCACGGGCTGTGAGGAGGGAAGGGGCTGGCACGGACCCTGTGGTCTTCTGACCAGTGTGACCCCAAAAATAAGGGCTTTAAAAAAAAAGAAGTTACCGCCATCCAAAAACACCATTCTCCTTTTACAGTTGGTGTGAGGTCTAAACAAGCTAATAATATGAATAGTTACAAAGAAAAGGGTTGTTGTTTTTAATTTTTTTAAATCTGTTTTTATTGGTTATTCACAGAGAGGAAGGGAGAGAGATAGTTAGAAACATCGATGAGCTGCCTCCTGCACACCTCCTACTGGGGATGTGCCCGCAACCAAGGCCCATGGCCTTGACCGGAATCAAACCCGGGACCCCTCCGTCCACAGGCTGACGCTCTATCCACTGAGCCACACCGGTTTCGGCTGTTTCTAATGGTTTATACTTGATTTCACAGCGAGGAAGAGAGAGAAACAAACACGGATGAGAGAGAGATACCCATTGGCCGCCTCCTGCATGCCTCCTGCTGAGGATCGAGCCCGAAACCCAGGCACGTGTCCTGACTGAGAATAGAACCGGCCACCTCCTGGTACTGGGGCCGGCACTCAGCCACTGAGCCACACGGGCCGGGCAGAAAAGCGGCTTTGGCCGCCCGCACACAGCAAGCGCTCCGTACGTGCTGCCGCCGGTTCCGTGTGCCTCAGCGAGAACGTTATCTGGGGCAGCCAAGGGCGTGGCTCCCCTCGGCTCCCGGGGGCCCGGCCTCACCGAAGGCGCCAGGTGCTCCGGTTTGCCCGCAACGGCAGGCATCCGGTGGCAGAGGGACTCCGCCGGTGGCGAGACACACGCACAGATGGGCTGAGGCTCTCCGCCGGCCCCCGGCCCCCGGGCCCTGGCAGGGGCTGGCGGCAACAGCAGGCGGCCCCCGCGGGCGCCCTGCCACAGCGGCACAGGCACACGTGGGCGAGCGGCGGGCCTGCCCCACATAGCCCACTGGCGGCTCCGCCGGGGGGGTGTCCGCCCCCCGAGCCCCGCAACTAGGCCACCGCCCCCGGCAGAGATCGGCAGAGATCCGGCAGAGTTCCGGCGGCTCCTCCGGTCCCTGCGGACCAGCGCTCATTGACAAGTTCGGGGACGTGGGCGGGCTCTGCACGCTCGGCGCTCAGGCCCCGCGCACGCCCCCTCTGCCCGCGGGGGGCCCGTCGCCGTAATTAGAGATGGCCTCCGATGTGGGGGGCTGCCGCCGGCCCACCCCGGCCCCACAAACAGGGCTTCTCGGTGCCTGGCACAGAGGACGGATTCAAGGAATGAAAAACGAATGAATGAAGGGCCGAAACCGGTGTGGCTCAGTGGACAGGGTGTCGGCCTGCGGACTGAGAGGTCCTGGGTTCGATTCCGGTCATGGGCATGTACCTTGGTTTCTGGCAGATGGGATGTGCAGGAGGCAGCTGATCAATGATGTTTCTCTCTCTCATCAATGTTTCCAGCTCTCTATCCCTTGCCCCTCCTCTCTGTAAAAAAAACAAAACAAAACAATAAAATATCTTTTAGTAATTAAAAAAAAAACAAAAAACACACGAATGAATGAATGAACGAATGCGTGGGAGACAGCACCCTCACACAGAATGGGGACACCTCTCGGACCTTCAGGAGGCAGAGGGTGTGAAAGAGACATGGTACGGGCGACTCCATGCTCGTTTATAACATAAGCTGAGCCTCAGAAGCCACCCTGCAGGCTGGGGAACACACGTTCCCAGAGAAGAAAAGCGAGGTCGGAGAATCTGACCACGGCCGACAGCACGGCCTTGGGCTGGGGGGACGGAGAGAGGGGTGCTCTGACACCTTCCTCCTCCGTGGGTGTCCACCCAGACACCTCCTCCAGGCAGCCTCCCGGACAGCGCCAGCACACACGGCGGCCCCTGGCCCGGCAGAGCGGCCCTGGGTGCATCTCGGCGTCCCCTCCGGTTCTCTCTGACCCCGGCACCCGGGCGAGGGGCGCAGGACTCTGCGAGGTGAGACCCCTCCTTTCTGCTCCTTTTGTTTGTTCTAACAGCGCAGACAGGCACCCGCCAGTGACACCCCTGCCTTCAGTTCAAGCGGGTTACGCAGCCCGACTCCGTGCAGCCCCGCTCCCGCCCGCTCCCGGCGCCCCATCTCAGCTCCCGGGCCCAGGAGCGGGGGCTGGCGCCAGGCCCCTATTGAGTTATTACGGTTTTTAAAATATTGTTGTTATTGACTTCAGAGAGGAAGACAGAGGGAGAGAAACATCAACGATAAGAGAGAACATGGATCGGCTGCCCCTGCACGCCCCACACTGGGGACGGAGCCTGAACCCGGGCCTGTGCCCCGACCGGGAATCTGACCGTGACCGCCTGGTGCAGAGGTCAACGCTCAGCCACGGAGCCACGCCGCCGGCTATAATGATTTCTTAAAATTTTTTAAAAATTAAAAACATCAACACTGTCAAACCACCCAGCCGGCCTGAACATCCCAGTGAGTGTGTGTCTCTCTCAGCTCTGCTCAGGAATAATAAGTGTTAATTTTACACTTCATTTCTCAAAAAAAAAAGAAAAGAAAAGAAAGAATAAAATAATGGGCTGTGCTTTCGCTTAAAACCGAGCCGGCCTGCTGGCAGCGCCCGGCTGAAACTGTGTCAGCGCGAGCGGCGCTTTGTGGGGCAGCGCCGTGCGGCGATGACAGCCCGGCACCGGCCTCCGCGCCGGCTTTGGTCTCCGCCGGCATCTGATCCTGGCAGCCGCGCTGATTTCCATACGGGGCTCGGGGGAGGCCGGGAGGGGGGCGCGCGGACTGCCAGACGCTGGAGGTGAAGCCCAGGTGGGCCCCGCCGAGGTCAAAGGCGGGCCCGGGCCACGCTCCGAGGCGGCAATTTGCGGCCGGGCAGGAGGGGCTGAGGGCCGTGGGCCGTGTGCCGTGTGCTATGTGCTGTGGGCGGGAGGGGCTGAGGGCCGTGTGCTGTGGGCTGTGGGCCACGGGCCGCGGGCTGTGTGCCGTGTGCCGTGGGCTGTGTGCCGTGTGCTGTGGGCTGTGTGCCGTGTGCCGTGGGCTGTGTGCCATGGGTGGGAGGGGCTGCAGGCCGTGTGCCGTGTGCCGTGTGCTGTGGGCTGTGTGCCGTGTGCTGTGGGCTGTGTGCCGTGTGCCGTGGGCTGTGGGCTGTGTGCCGTGGGCTGTGGGCTGTGTGCCGTGTGCTGTGGGCTGTGTGCCGTGTGCCGTGGGCTGTGTGCTGTGGGCTGTGTGCCGTGGGCTGTGGGCTGTGTGCCGTGTGCTGTGGGCTGTGTGCCGTGTGCCGTGGGCTGTGTGCCGTGTGCAGTGGGCCGTGTGCCGTGGGCCGTGGGCGGGAGGGGCCGCGGGCCGGGGGCCGGGGGCCGGGCATTGTTCCCCAGCTCTCCCGCTCCAGGGGCCGGCCACGGGGGCATCCTCGGGCCTCGCCCGGCCCTTCTCTAAGCCGGGGCCCACGAGGAAAGCTGACCCCACAGTGGGGTCCTTAACACGTGTCCCCTCCCCCCTCCGGCCGAGAACCAGGGACTGGCTGTGGGCTGTGCGGACAGGGGCCTCACGGGCCTCCTCCTCCGTGCAGGGAGCGGGGGAAACACAAAGTTAGGCTCCGTGGCCCATGTGCTGTGTGTGCTCGGGTAAGTTACTTAACCTCTCTGAGCTTCAACGTTTCCCGCCGGCTGGCTGGCTGCTCTGCCCCAGGACTACCTCCTCCTCCTCCCCCTCCTCCTCCTCCTCCTCCTCCTCCTCCTCCTCCTCCTCCTCGCCTTCACTCAAGCGTCTGCTCAAAGGAGACTTCCTCCCAGAGAAGGCTGCAGGCACCCCGATAACAAGGTGTGCACCCCATCCTTTCCAGCAGCTCAACCACAGTGCTGCCAAACCGGCCGCAGCGCCAGTGGACAGGAGGGCTGGGGGCTCTCCGAGCCAGGGGAGGAGGCAGCCCCCACCCTGGCCGCGGGGGCAG